GCGACTCGTTCTCTAACATTAAGGACTAGAGAAAGGGTATGCATTTAATAATTTTTTAAGTGGTGGGTGCTTTTATATTTCGTGGAAAGTTTAGTGCTTAAAAAAATGTAATATTATAAAATATTTTTAACATTATATAATATTTAAAAAAGTGCGAAAACACAAAGTTGATTAATTCAGCTTAAATTACACCTTTTATTGATCTTTTTGTAATTTAGATTGCTGAATTGTGTTAGTATCGACTGATTAAAATTTGGTATTTGATTACATTTTTATATGTGGTAATACAGCATATCCCCAAAGCAAGCTGTTCTAACATATATATATAAATTAAATTTATTGCTTTCTTTTATTTATATTTATCGAATCTTATTAAGTTTGAGGCCGAACATTTAAAAACTTTCTAATTGCATCTATGGTATATAATATAGGTATGTAAGCATGCATGTACATATTGATATACATAGACGTACAAGTATATATTTATTTAACAATAAAAAAAATTATGATATCAAAAGTATGGAATTTCCGTTGCATACTTATAGGCGCAGTGAAATCTGTCTCACATTCATTTTGTTCAAGCAAAGCTTTTGCTTTTTCGCTTAAAAATTTTGTAATTACTGAATGTATGTGTGTTTGTATATAAAATGGCCCACGAAGTTGAAAATATTCAGAAGAAAACGTCGGGATCTCCGTCGATTTAGCCAACACTTGCTTATTTGGTAAGGTATATTTACAAAATTTGGTTTGGTTTATTGCCAAAGACAACGGCATATTCTTGGAATATATTGTTTAGATCGGACCACTATTGCATTTACATAGCTGTCGTACAAACATTAACATCTCTACATTTATAGTTTTAATAAAAAATTTGGAATATTTTGGTATAAGAGTAAAATAATTTGCTTATCAATTTATTTAAAAAATTAAGAATAAAAAATTAGAAGTATTTTTTTTAGAACAGGAAATAAAACTTTTAGTTTAATATAAAAATTAAAAAAATTAAAATTAAAATTAAAAATTAAAAAGAAAATGGTTTTTAAACGAAATAACACTTTTATATTAATATAAAAAGTAAAAGATTTAGTTTTTAAATTTGTACCCAAGTTTAACCGGAAGACTTTAAAAATTATTTTACAATAAAAACAAAAAATTATAAAGATTTTTTTACAATTTTTTTTTAATGTTTAATACTATTATTTTATAAGCGATGTCAAAATTAATTCTTGTAAAAATTAGTTTTTCAAAAAAGCCATTCAATTGCTCAATATTAAAACTCATTCAGTATTAAATTGTGTGTAAATATGTACTGAGTGAAGAATGAATAGAAAAACTACAAAGACACGCCCATTTCATTTGATTTTATTAATACATATAAACATAAATATGCATAAACACAAGTGTGTAGATTTCAGTTCATATGAAAATATTTCCCTTATCTCTATACTGATTGCACCAGTCCCATTATTTTCATTCATGTTACGTATCCGCCATGTGGTCCGCACAGAGAATATACACATACTTATGTAGGATAAATATTTATGGCTTTATTTTTGAAAGACGACAGTGCAATGCATAAATGCGATTATTTAAAGCAAGAGCAATAACTTGCTTACTATTTATATTATTGTATTATTTGCTTTATATTTGCCAAAGCTTATGCTCGACTCGCAATATTGCTGTACAAAGTCGAACATTTATGTATCGCGAGCGATAACTTTTGTGCAGTAAATAAATATTACTTTTATTATTATTGTTGGGTTACTATTGCTATTGGGTACATCGGAACCCTTTATAGGGTAGGTACAGATGAAATTTCAGAAGAAGCAAGATGATATGGCGATCCGACGATTATTTGCTCTGTAGGATGTTATTGCGTAACTTTAGAGTATTCTATCTATCCTATATTGTTTCAGATGAGATTGAAGAAATTACTCTTCTCTGAGCTATTGCAATTATTGGAGCATTTGTGGCGATAAATGCAAAAGATTTCTTACAAGAACTTGATTTTGGTCGGTCTGTTTGTATGGCAGCTATATGCTAAAGTGACTCCATCTGAACGACTGCTTCAGAGATTATACCGATGACAGCAGACAATTTTTTACCAGCTTTGCAATTTAAAATGATTTTTTTTCATTCAGTTATAAAATTCAAAAAAAAATAATAATAATAATTGTCCTTAAAATAGCCTTAATATTTACGGTTGAAATATCTTTTGAACGATTAGGTTTACGAAAACATCGTTTACAGACATTAAATTTTCTACAAAATCCACAAAACGAAATATGTGTTCAAGTAGTTGAAAGCGAGATATGAATTCTTTTATCTGATTATAAGAACAAAATAGGTTAGGCGGAGGATCTTCCCGTTACAATTAGAGCTCATAAACCAATTTTTCAGAGTACGAAGCGAAAAACAACAATCGTTTAATTGAATCACTCTAATATGCATATATCAAAATATCAAAAAATAAAAAAATAAAAAACCACATACAGGTACATATATGTTTATAAATTAAAAATATTTAATTTAAATATATTTGTCAAAATTTTGTTTTTTTTTTAGTTTTATAAGCAAAATTAAACAAAAATGAATCGTAAAATTTTTTTTTTTTTCCGACATTTTTCTTTTAGGCAAACATATTAACAATCATTCAAAATTGAAAAAAATAATAAAAAACAAAGTTCAAAATGATATTTGAATAAAAATATCTGAACAATCTCATTTCTTATCTCCCACTGGTGTAGTACACACCTGCAATTCGTCAATGCTGACAAAAATCAATTCAACACTTCGGTAGCTGCTTTGAATTTACAGTACTGTTTAACATGACGCATTTGTGTGAACTCGAGCTGAAGACTGAAACGTGTAGCAAAGCTGAGTGTTGACAATAAGTATTGAAGCTCTTTTGGAAGGCAATGTGGAGAGTAAATTGTCTAAAAACGCATGCAATTTTGACACACACACATTTGCACGTGTGTATGCATATTTCGGCACATTTCCGAACACAATGCCAAAACACGAAACAAACAGTCAAGAATCGCCCAAACCAAAGCATGACGAACGACAGGTAAGTGCCAATTTTGTTGTTGTTGTATATATTTATATATATGCACTATGTATTATATATGTATTGTATGTATGAATGTTCGTATGTTAACAGCAGTTGCCAAAAGTGAGTCAAATCAGTGAGACGACTTGGCAGTTGTAAGGTTGATGCGAGTGCGCATCAATAGCTTGAATGCGGAGCGTCTTAAGAAAATTATAAACAAAAACAAAAATAATTGATAATAGTGAAAAAATGAAATAATAAAAGTTAATACGCGCTGCTGAAAGACCGGCTTGAGTGAATAGCCAATGCTAAAAATGCGACCAGAGCGTTTAAGAGAGCAAGAGAGGTAGAAGTGAGTCGAAAATGAAGTTTAAACTGAAACAAAAGTAAAAAAAAAAAACATTATCAAAAAAAAAAATTGTACAAGAAAAATTAAAGTAACAAAAAGCAATAAAATTTAAAAAATCAAAAAAGAAAAAATAAACCAATAAAATTTGTGTCGGGTGTTCATTGTGTAGCTTAAATATAAAAAATAAAACTAAAAAATAGTTGCTTGGACAACTAAAGCCGTTAATGAAATACTACTCGCATATATAAAGTTATATATGTATACATTCCGAATCGAAGATGTATATATATATATGTGTATGCATGATGTTCGACTTTGAAGTGAGGATTGGCTGTGGGAATTAATATAGCAATTTTATTAGACATTATGATGGTCATGTTGATGTTATTTATAGCTTAGTCTATCCACTTAACTATTACTGTTTTATTGTTGTTGTTTTTATTGTTATATTTTAGCCAGATACGGCATGTAATGCCAACTGCGCGAATGCGGCGCTTCATATCCACATATATATATATATATATATATGTTTGTCGCTATGTATACCTTAATCGGTCGCTGAGCGCGCGCTTTTCATTTATTTACCTCCATTTTTGCAGAAACAAACATGCTTTCAGAACTAACGGTTGTGTTGTGAAAGAATCGGGCAGTGATTTGTAGATGCTAGTGCAAAATTAAAATACGAGTGAAGTGTAAAAATACGATTAGAGGGTAGGTGAAAAAAATCATATAAAAAAGAAGAATCGTTGCAGGAATTTAATTTTGATCGGTTAGTTTGTATGGCAGCTTTTTGCTACATATACTTGTAGTAGTCCGATCAAAACAATTTCTTTGGCGATTTCACCATTGCATTGGACAATAATACATGCCAAACTTGACATCGATTCGTGATTCCGATCGTTCAGTTTGTATGGCAGCTATATGCTAAAGTGGTCCGATATCGGCGATTATAGCAAATGAGCAGCTCCTTGGGGAAAAAAGGAGTGTGCAAAATTTCAGATCGATGTCTCCAAAACTGAGAGATTGGTTTGCATATATACAGACAGGCAGACGGACATGGCTAAATCGACTCAGATCATCATGTTGATCATTTATATAAATATTTTATAGGGTCTCCGACTTTTCCCTCGGGGTGTTAAAAAATTCGTGCAAACTTAATAATTAAAATACGATAAAAATGTATTTATATAAATAAAAAAATTAAATATTATAAAAATATTACATCAAAATAAATGAAGACCATTTTTTAAGTAAAAAATTGTCAATAGCTCTAAAACTATATAAACATATATATTTCTTATTATCACATTTCAAATTTAAATTATTTTTAATTTATTTAAATACATTTTTTTTTTTGAATTTTCAATAAGATATACTTTATACTTTTTTTTTAAATAAAATATTTAAAACGACGAATCAAAAATACATAAAGCTACAAAAAAAATTAAAAGATAAATAAAATTATAAAAAAGTAAAAAATACAACATAGTTCAACATTTCAGAAATTAAATTATAATATAACAATGAAAATTATAAACAATATTTTTTTTAATCTAAATTAAAAATTTTGAAGTGAAAATAATTAACACTCTTGTAAAACAGATGAAAATATAAAATTATTATATTAAATTTGCTATAAACAAAAGAAAAACAACACACAAATTATTATTCGACAGCGTTTTGAAAATTCGCAAATTTTTATACAGTCATCCAATAAAAGCGACCTGCAATCATCAACGCCGTAAAACATAATACTCACATAAGTACGTACTCGTACCCAACACGAGTGCACTACATGCACACAATAGTACCTGTACCTGGAAAAGCGCTGCAATTTAAAAAAATGATGTTTGAAAACACGTTGAACCGGTGCCGTACGGCGTTTGACAGGTAAGTTTATGGCTTTTTTCTCACTTTGTTTGCATACGGAATATTCTGAATATTTTATGTTTATTTATTCATTTTTCGAACGACAAAAAAAACCGTTAATGGGACGGTGGTTGCTTTTTAACAAATTATGAGACTTGTTTAAATTGTACACAGAGGGGCATTTCAAAAACAAGCATTTTTATTTCTTCCTCCCTTATAATACAGGGTGTAACAAGGGTTACGTAACTATTTTTTGGGTTAATGGTTCATTCATTTTTTTTTGTTTTTTTCTGCATTATTGTGCGGCTGATTTGTAAACATATCGAGAATATTTAACAATATTTTCAAGCGGGCTTTATAGCAAGCTTTGCATGCTTTTAGAATTAAAAAAGTTTTAGATTGAACCTTGGTATGTTGAATTGGTACAAAATCAAGAAAACATATATTTTCTTTTATTTCAAATTAAACTTAAAATCCTCAATATCGATAATTTTATTTTAAATTGAATTCTATTTCTTTGGAAATGTTTCAGGTTTTCTACATGTATGTACACACAGGTGTGTTTAATATACATATGTATATACTAATATATGTATAATACATCATTTTACCGGAATGCTCTGCTAATCGTGTATAACTTGTAAATGTTTATTGTTTTTTGAAGTCTAAATGAACAGTAGTCAATTGTACAAAGAACATATGCAAATATTTGCATATAATACACTGAGAGAAAATATGTGTGGTTTTGAAAGTATGCAACTTTAATTGCACAATCACGAAAAGCTCCTGTACTTTGTTGCGATTATACCAATTATAGTATAGTTTATTATTGAAATTATTGAATATTGAAAAGTTAAATAAGTTTTCATTAAAAAATACTTTGTCATTATGTCAAAATTAAAAATAATTACAGCTATTAAGTTTAATGCTATAAATTATATATATGTTCCTCCTAAATATGTTCATTTCGTGAGGAATGTGTAAAATGGGTGTGTTAATAAGATGCGCAGAAAAATAATTGTGTTTTGCATTAATTATTATACACACACGGTTTAAAACTATTTATAATTCCTCATTATTATTCTATTTTTACAAATCACTGAAGAATATTAAAAAATGTGGTGACTCTACTGAAAAACATTTCTATTTGAAAGTGCTCTTAAGTAAGGTTAATTTAAATGTTTATGTTTTTTAGTTTTTATTGGTGGCAACCCTAAGCAAATTTGTTTTCGAATAAATTTTCTGGTAGATGGTAAATTAATAATTTAAAAAAAATCTATAATGGTGGTAAACTTAAATAAAATGTATTTTTTGGTAATTTAATAGTTTTATGTTAAGAACTATGAAGTTCTCTTCTAAAATATTTAATATTATAGTCGAAAACATTTATAAGATATTGGTCTAGCTAAAAATCGGTGGGATTTACTTGCATAAGCATTAAATACGTTAGTCAATCAATAATATCTATCAGCACTATTTCGGTAGGTCTAATACTTGTATTTAAAAAATGCATCAAAACTTAGACAATATTTACGTCAGGGTGAAGCTTATCGTATTAAAAAGCTCACAATTTCTCTAAATCACGTAAACTAACGTTTTAGTTTTCCGAAATGTAGGTGGCGTTTATTGGAAAGAAATTTTATAAATTTATATAGTTGACAATACTTGCTTCAATCTCCCGCATTTTCTATTATAGCCTGACGTCTTTGATGGCAACTTGCAACTAAATTTTTCGCATATTTCACAGAATGAATCTCAGGTTTTCGGTGATGCATCTCTAAACCCCAAATCCATGAGCAGAGAAGCATCCATAAACATGCACCTTTTAGGTCTCAAGAGGTTGAACAGTACAAAAGTTCACTCATCTGTAAACATTACATTACTCCAATCATGGTTGATGTTTTCCTGTGTTCAATGCAACCTTTACTCAATGTGTGTTTTTGAAAGTAGTGGTTTGTTTACAGTACTACTGCGTTTGATCTCTTAAGTCTGTATTGTATTTAGAAATATATCTAATCTCATTTTCAACAAAATGATTTTAGCTTCTCTTAGACTTGTCATCTACGTTTTCAGTTTCTCCATAATGGTCAGACCAACTCTTCATAAATTTAAAACTCATATTTAAATACTTTGCAGTTTTTTTAATAGTCCATTTGGGATCCTTAGGATTCTTCCTTAAAAAGGCTGCTTCAAACCGTTTATTTTTATGAGCACTGATTTTAGCTTAATTCACCGCACGACGTGACACATTGGCACATTAAGAAGATCGAAAAAAACAACTTACCGAATTGTACGTGTCAGTGATGGCAATTGTACATGTGTTAAATTGCAAAAAACAAAAAAAAAACAAAGTTTTTGCGAGTCAATTGCGCAAGTGAAAACGTTATCGTTTGAAGCACTGTATGAAAGTTCTCATTCTTAAAATGAGGCCCATAAATTCCACATTTTTTTCAAAGCAACCAACTACTTTGGCAATGGGTATTTCAAAGCTTTTAGCTGCCATTGGTTGAAACTCAAGCTGTAATAAATAGCTTATAAAATAAATTATTCTACGTAATAACTTTTTTCTGGTGGCTGTGGGGCACTAAAAACTTTCGTTATCGGGTATTATTTTATAGGGCTTGTAAAGACTGCATTGCAACGGAAATAGGGTTCTTGGTTTAATAAAGTGATTGATTGGGATGTAAACTCATAATGTTTAAACACTGCAATTTATTTTTGTTGTTTAGCATTTTACACTAGGGAAATATTGTCTATAGAGAGAATTTATGATGACAACAGAGCAATTCTGTCAAAATTTTGTCCCGAAAACTCGAGTTTAATGAATACTTTAGTTGCTTAGCATTAAACACTATTTTCAAACACTGAGTTTTCAGTCCATTGTGCGAATGGAATTTCTAGTGATATAAATCTACTGGAAATATATTGCCTCTTTGTAGGCTCTGTTGTCTGTTTTGACAATTCACTATTATCTAATTAAAAAGAGGTTAGATTTTCCTAAAAGAAAATACTTGACTATTGTTCATCAACAAAAAGCTTTAAACTCGAGTTTTTGCTGCAACGTTTACATATTTATGTAGTTTTGTTTTCATATTAATATATTCAGATAATTTGGTTAAACACTCCTTTATGTTTTGAATAAACCCAAACTGCAGTTGAAATCGTTCTTCTAAATTCATATTTGTTTACACATTTTTTTTAGTGGGAATTGAAAAGCCTTTAATTTTATAGAATATACTTTTAATCAAAGTAATTAAGGAGCATTGTTTCATGCGTTGTTTAAAAAAAATTGACTTTAGACACTACAATATATAAATAAATAATTGCTTTCACTCCACAACTTTTTTTAATTGAACTCGACAAACCGGAAGAGTCTATATTATAGGTTTCCCACATTAAATTACATTTGCTCAATTTTTATGTGCCATTTTAATGACTTGTGGCTTAATCAAAAAAGGTTGATTGATATATAAAATTTGGTAAATATTTGCTTATGCATGTCTCTACAGAATTAATAGTAGCTTCATTAACTTGTTCACTAATTGCAACCTAATTGTGGGTACTTTACGCACATACATAGATACTTCGTATTTTAATAGCTTCAGAAGTTATGAGTTTTGCTCAAAATAAATAGCTTGCCAATTTTCGCAACAGTTGTAAGTTATGTTCTCAGTTTTAGAGTGTGTAGTGTTAACTGTGGGAAAAATATATTCAATTCAATTACTAGTGTTTTCAAAACTTTTTCAAAATGACAGATGACAACATTACGCATATATCAGAGATCAGGTGAATATATAAAAATATGTCTATCGATATATTTGCTCGTTTAATTGCCGTAGCTATTAATTGGTGGTTGAATAGTTCAAATTGCGGCCATTACATAGCAGAAATTTATTGAAAAACTCAAACAAATAAAACTAATTGCATTAAAAAGCCTTAATACTAAAAATATTCAAAGTTACTATCATATCATTTTCAGATTTTCAAGACCTTTCTTGTACATATGCGTGGAACAATAAACCGATAATGAAAGAAATCTAACAGTAACACAGCTCTGAGAACATTGACATTTTCGAGACTGCGGATAACATAATTCTCGAATTACTGTGTATCTGAGCGCTTTGTTACTTGGACCAAATTTCCTCTAAGCCCGTCTTCAAATACAAACCACAAAAATTCGTTTATCTTGCCTCACAAGCTTTCTGCGCCGAATCGAAAAAAATCCACACCAAACCGTTATTCCTCTCGAAAGCATTGTCATCAAAACCTTTTGAAAATTTACTTTGATATTCTACAAGGATTTATAAATAATACTACGAGAAAGTATGAACCACCGTATAGTTTATGTGGATTGTTTTTGAAGCATAGATACGTAAATCATAGCTTCATTAATAATATAATATTTTGACAAGCACAATTGTAAGTTTCTTTGATGGGAGAGCTCTTTTTCTTCATCGAATGCGTTCGTTCTTGTTTACGGTTATTGTCAAAATTAACTACCCTTTTTAACTTTTCAATAGGTGTGACCCATTTTTAAAGCCTTTAAAGTGATTCTACTGAGTTCTTTCAAATACAAATTGGTTTTTAAAAGAAGCAGCTTCACTGATCAATTATATGCTTAACTTTCGAAAAGTCACTACCTAACTCAACTGCTTTCGTATTACCCCAGCACTAACAACAAAAAAAAAAAACTGAAGTTTAAACTCTGTTGTAATTAGTTAGTGAATCTTTGTTCCTATTTACTACGTAAAACTTAAAACGAAGTACTTATTGAACTTTGCTTACAGCGCTCGTAATCAGCCACTCACAATAACTACTGAACAATTTGCAATTATAAACTCAATCCCATATTTACATTTCATTCCAAAACTAATATTTACTTCTAAGTTAAGTTGCACAAATTAACAGGTAATAAAACAGCCCACTGTTCTCGATCGCACCTGATTAATCAATTTGATAAGCAAACAAAAGCGCTGTGTACTTAAATTCAAGCGCAAGCAGAGAGCTTTTAAAGCTTAACT